CGGTAACCTGGTTGCCGAGTTCACGAAGTGAATTGGCTTGTTTTACAACGTCGTTGCCAAGCGACGAAAACCCAATCCCGATGGCAAACACCGGGGGGCGGTCCTGGGGGGGGAAGGAGTGATTCATACACTGATCATTATTTCATACGGGTCACGGTGCCAGTATCGCTGAGCCCCTCTAATGGGACGTAAACATTTTCGATGTCCTGCTCACCGGACCTTGACAACACGACATGGCTCACGTGCGTGGTAAACAAAATACATGAACATACAAAAACGTATGTGCCACCGACGACGGCAGCACCAACTGCGGATGAACGTAAAGGTCTTGGAGAAAACAATGCAAGTTTCGTCACCACACCCTCTGATCGTCACACCTCGACACTGTTGTTCTGGAAACCCAGTGACACAAATCAACACACCTCGCTCCCGTCTCCCACGCAGAAATAGGACAGAGTCTTCTCGTCGTCGTCCAATGTCGACAGCAACGCGCCAGGCTCCGGGCGATGACTCAACACCTTCACACGAGAAAATCAAGCAAGCAACACCCCGACATGAAAAGAGAAGATGCCCGCATCGGAAAGGATGGACGAGGGAATGTGAAGAGACAAACGCGAAAAGTGGGAGCAGCGAGAGACACAATGGTCAACTGAAACCACGATATGGCGACCCAGTCCCGTTCAAGCTAGCAGGAAACGCGTGCAGATACACCGAGAGCAACGAGACTTCGTAGTCTCACACCAGCTACTCAGCCCGTCAAGTGATCATGGCCATGAGGTCTACCGCACCAGTAGAACCCACAGCAGCAAGGTGATAAAACCACAGTGTCAAGAATTCAGCAGTTTGATGAAATCGGAGCGTCACACAATTTGATCGAAAACCCTAGCAGAGTCGGTGTCAGAGGCGTTCTCCCCGTCGCACCTGCTGATCCGTGTCCACCTTGAACAGGCGTTTGCACAGCTGCTTGAGCTTTCCCACCGTCAGCGAGGAGGCGGGAAGCTTCTTCTTAATGGGTTCCACGGTGCAGCTCACCGCCGCCAGGCTGATTAGAGTCACCTGCACTTACATTGCGCGCATACATCGTTCAAAGGTTGCCCGACGGTTGCATTTCACTTCGAAGGAAGAAGGTCCGCCTCACAGCGTGCGGTTGGGGAACGGTTCCGGTTCAAAGCGAAGCTGTTCAGTCGCGTAAACTTGAAGTTGACGAGGGGTCAGTGCGCTCTGCAGGTGGCGATACATCGGATTTTGCCGCCAAATTACGACAGCTTTATGCCTATACAGACAGAATCATCGATTTTGATTTTTGACACACATGCTGCATGTGCCGCTGATTTCTCGCTCCGAGGATAACGTTAGAGTCGGTATCGACGACAAGCCGTGATCTCTACAACGTACATCCTGTCAGTACAGCCAAAGCCAACTCCAGTCGCTGCGCACATATACAAGAAAAAACATGTGAAATGGATTTTCAACATCAAACAAAGTAGTAGAACTACGCACGTTGGTGAAAAAGTCGCGATCCAGGCCAGTTCGCGGTACCACCTCGGATACGATTCTCATACGCGCTAGCCTGCCAACACAGCGCCTTGGAGCCGATCATCACATGTGGCCGGTGTGGCCCCATGCCAAGCTTGTCTGTCGTTGTCATCTTTGTGAACGACGCCATCAGTGCCAACCCTTTTGGTAGAATCGAGCTACCAACAATCTACAGGAGGTCATTCCGAGAGACAAGCTTCAACGAGATATTGACCAGTCAACGGTAAAAATCAGCGACACTGATGATTTGATTCCAAGGCCTGATGGACTGTACGTGATGAAAACGGGGAGAGTGGGACGAGCAAACAAAGGCGACACTACCGTCGTGTAGGGGTGTCGCCCTACTTTTATCATCCCACTCCCGCAGTTACCATGATGTCGGGCCTCGGAGTCAAGTCATCACATATGCTTGGCCCATGTCTGGCCAACAGCATTGTCGATCTACCATCGTCTACATGCTGTCGCGATGACTGTAGCCGTCCTATTGGACAGCCCGTTAGCGCGGTCACTTCTATCAACGGAGACACGCAGAGAAGGCAAGTATCGAGGCCCATACACCGACCACCACATGTGCGTCAGAGTGGTCGCTGAAATGAGATGAAACAACAACAAAAAAGCTCAAGTTGAAAGAACGCTCGTCGCTTGTCGCACTTGCACCATGCCGGCAGCCATGCTGCCACCTTGTTGCCCAAGACCTGCTCCCCTGCCCCCGAACGCCATCGAATCCCCGTGCAACGCCCAGAGCTCGCGGTATCTGTCGTGCCAACAGCGAATGGCACCAGCATGACAAAAGCCAAAAGAAAGGGTTTCGCCAAGTTTAGGAGGACCTTCATTCGTGGCATACAGTCTTCGTGCGATTGACCGCGTGCCTCGGCCCCTTCTAGATAAAGCCACTGCTGCCCTCACTTCGCCGCGGCGGGAAATGTAACACCATGATGCACGTGCAATGGCATTGCTACAAAACGTACGTCTGGGCAGACCTGCCCCACAACATGCCAAGTAGAGCACAAAAACAATGCAGGTGCAGATCAAACCCATCTTCACGATGGAACCCCACACCTTGGGCTAGTTGGAGGATAACAGAGCAGTTGGTTGTGTAGGATAACACACCAGAGTGTCGACTGTGACCGTGAGTGTCTCTATAGCCGAGGCAATACGCTCTCATTGCAATACGTTGCCCCTTAGGGAGAGGCGTCCGTCGTTGACCACATGGTCCAACAATCATTACCGGTAGCAGGCGGCTGGAGTAACGGTAAAAGACAAACCAGGAAAACCAGGCAAGCTTGCTGTGGACGCGACAAGAGCACTCCGAAAGCACAAACTTCTCCAGCGCTGAGTGAACCAAACCAGTCGCTCCTTGTATATGGCAGCGGCAAAAAATCAAGCGTCCTTACCCTGTCCGTGTCTTAAAAGAAACGCATGCATGCATGTATGCCTCTAGATGATCGAACTTGGCAACAATTAGATTTGATTGATTTGACTTGCCTCGGATGCCGTTCGGCCAATCGCTGCTCCGCCTCGCCCTTAGTGAGACCCTGGCCTCCCTTTTCTTCGCTCTCCTGCGCCTACGTCAACACAAACATGGCGTTTCAGGGCACACAAACGGAGAGATAATGGGACAACTGAGGCGGCGGAGTTTGGCGATACTTGATGAGCCCAGGCCCGAATGCAGTGAAGCGACTGGCTCGGAAGAGCAAAAAAAAAGGGGGACAAACTTAGGTGCTATTGTTCTGAATGGAGGCGTTTCTTCAAAGAAGGGGACAGGAACGCGGTCCACCACGCCGCGTAGTTGAGGAAGGCAACACAGCAGTACCCGACGAACGGGGAAAGAAGCTGTCGATTCGATTCGATGTTTGTGCGAAAAACGAAGCGACGATCAAGGGGAGGCTACCGCTGTGATGATGGTTGCAAGATAAACTGGCGATGCGAGGGTGATCGTGAGGAAGGAAGTGCGGACAAGCTCGAAATAAAACTAGCCACAGGGGCAGTGACTGATGAGGTTAGACCGAAAAAGACAGTATTCTCGGACCAGAGGCGTTATGGTCGGGACAACAGGAAGAGGGACTGACTCAAGTTGAGCCTGGCTTAAGCCTCGTTTGAGGGGGGCGGTGCTGCTGTGTGAGTTGCGAATCTCAAGGAGTATCCGAACGTCGGCGGTGACTTCATCAGCAGTAGGGGCAGCGACTGCTGGATATCGGGACCACAGCCGTGGAATCAAATCAAAAACGAGACAACGGGGTATCCCCCTCAACCCCACACAAAGAACAACGTGCTCCCCAAAGCGAAACCATTGTAGGAATGTTGAATACATTTGCACCTTCTCCAAGTCTTTGTACAGCATCCGAAGGTAGAGCTTCTCAGCGTCCGCCCTCTCCCTAGCCCCAACCTCGCTGGCGTTGACCCTAGTGACCTTGGGCAGCCGTGCGATGCACGCGGCGCGCGACTTGAGGGAGACGCAGAGATAAAAGGAAACGGGAGGGGGAGAGACAATAACATCGAGCAAAGCGTAAGGGTCGCCGGTAGATTGCGACGGGGGGGGTGCTCATAGTCGTGCATGCCGTAGTCGTTGGAACATTGACCTAGCATCCCTACAATGCCGGGAGGGGGGGGAGGGTATATAAGCAGATCAGCAAGCCATACACGACACCAAGAGGGGGTGGGGCATCCACCACGAACACCGGATTAGGCCACGAGGGAGAGAGACAGGGAAAGAGCAATGAAGGCATCAGAAACGAGGACTACAATGGCGATCGACTGTCTAGGTTAAACCCAAGACCTTACTGAGTCTTTTTCGTTGCCTTACCAGGGAAGCGGGTGATTTTGAAGCAACACGTTCAGCGTTGGGGCGATGCTGCGGTTGTTATTTTCCCAATCCCTTTGCCAGGTACACGTCTTCCGCGCATCACAACCTTAGATCCTCTTCTCTTCTTTCCTCTTCTCTTCTTTCCTCTTCTCTTTTCTTCTCTCCCTCTTCTACGCCATTACTTTCTCTTCTCTTACGGGAGACAGTCTCAGCTAGTCGCCCTGATGCCATCCAATACGAACACCCCAACGCCCGTACTCCGAACCGAAAAAAAAAACGTTCCAGACGAGCGAAAGACGCTCAGATCATCGCACACAACGACGGTAACCAGGCCGTCGAGTGATGTTCGGTAGGAGGTGTGCACCCTTGGGGTGACATCTTCCACTTTGGGAGAAAACATGTAGTCCAATTTCGGTGATCATATAGCTATACGTTGCCGCACCAAACTGGAAGATGAGGTGACCCACCAACCGCAGCATCAGCATCAGCATCACTCTGTCTGCAACGATAGGGCTCAACAAGCGAGAAATGGACTGCACAACCACGATGGACCGATATCACAGCAGCATGATTTAAGGACGAGTTTTCGGCCTTTTATACCCTTGTTCGGTGGGGAGGTCGAAAGGAAGGCGAAACCGACAACTAGAGCGCCCAAATACACAGCACCAGTGTCACAGCAGATTTGGGAGACGAGGGTACGGCCTGTTTCCACTATCGTTCGGCAGTGAGGTCGAAAGGTGACCGGCCGGAAGGAAGCCAGATCCGAGCATGCTAGTAAAGGTCCAAGCCGCGAGATCATCACCTCCGATGCCCCTAGGCCAGACGTGACCGGATTGCCGCTGAACCGCAGCGAGCGCAGGGACGGCAGGCCCGCCAGACGGTCGACCGCTCCCCAGTCCCCTATCCGGTTGCCGCTTAGCGAGATCGCCGAAAGGACCGCGAAGGGCGGAGCGATGCTCGAAGAGGCAGCACCACCTTGCCCGTCATTGTGGTTGTGTTTTCCGCCTTTGTCTCCCTCTACTTGATCTCCGGAGGCTGGGCCGGGGTTAGTACCGTCCGATTCCGCTGCCGCCGCCGAAGTTGAAGTTGTAGTTGAAGTGATGAGGTCGACGTCGGCCACCCGGTTGTGGTTGAGGAGGAGGGTGGACAGGGCCGGAAGGGCCGAGAAGCACGCGACCTGCTCCCTCAGACGTGAACACGGACGCGCACACGCGGAGGAGAAGAGAAGGGGCACAAACAGAAGAAGAGGTCATGAGGAGGGCTGGCAGGAGTGGCAATGGAGAAAGACTTTGGATGGAACCGTGTTTCGCCCGCCTCATCACGAACAAGGGACGGACGGTGGTCAACCGAGCCAACAGCAAGACGGAGGGACTCGACCCCATGCACACCGATTGGATGGTAGTGCTGCAGTAGTTCGGAAAATGGGCAAGTAAAGTACCAGGAATAGGAATACGACCAAGTCAGGACGTTGTTCTAGGGTGAGGCTTCATGATACGAAGACAGTGATATCGAGAACAACGACAACAACAGCAACGAAAACGACAACGACAACCAACCATTACAAGTAACAACCTGCTCCCACGAAGTCAGCTCCGTCTCCGAAAGGTCGAGCGCAATCAAGCGGCGGAACCCCCCTACCCTCTTCTCGCCGCTAGGGTGCCCGTTCCCGCTCGTCGAAGGTGCTACGACGTCGGACACATCCGAAACGTCATTGTCCGCGGCGTAGAGTTCCTCCAGCGACGGAGCCCACTCTCCGAGCATCGCCACCTGCAGCCAGCCATCACCCGAGAGCGGGAAGGGGTACAGTAGAGACGCAGACAAGAGGGTGACGGCGGTGGTGCCATCCGTACGTGGAACAAGTTGGGGTTTCATTTCGTTGTGTCCGCCGAAACGCGGGTGCTTCCGTCTCAATCGCAAGGCTGCACGAAGACAAGAAAGCCCGTCCGCTCGAGACACGCGCTCTCTTGGGCGTTTTAGACGTGAGCGATGGAACGACGGAGCGGCAGAGGACGTGCGCATCGTGCGCCGTGGCTCGGGGGGCAGGCACCACCGCCGTGGCTCGGGGGGGTCGGCTTCCTCCTCCGCCCCGCTCCCTGCAACAGCTTCTCATATTTCAGAGCCCCAACTTGCCTCTGTGACTATGAGTACCAAATACCCAACACATTAAAAAGAGGTACCACGCGGGTTCTTTGCTACAAGTACTTCCATGTCGGCCACGGTTCGTTCACGGCAAGCAATCGCCAACGTCACCAACTTTCGCATGGAAAGACCAGGTGATAAAACACCCAGCACGAGAGGGTACCATAGCCACCACCACCGAGACAAAATTGAAAACGCATACCTGTGACCAGGAGGTGATGCCACAGGATGTTATCTCCAACACTCGAAGGCGACCACAAGCTCCGCTGCAGGCGCAAACAGCGTCAACAAATGCAGAAAAGAAAGGAAAGGAAGCTTGAGCGGTTCAAGAGGGCGATACACTATTATGGACGGAGCACGTAGGACCCATGAAAAAACAAAAATAAAAGTGTACGAGAAGGTATAGTAAACTGATGGGAGCGGACAAGGCACTGACAGAGGCTACGGGGGTATAGCTCCAGCATCAGCAGCGGCAGCAGCAGCGGCAGCAGCAGCAGCAACAACAACAACAACAGCAACAGCAGAAATAACGGCAGTGGTAAAAGTGACCATTGTTACGGATAAGATAAGATAGGGGCGACGAAAGAGTCAGCACAAGCCTCCAAAAGCACTGGCACCTTGATAGGGAGGGTGGAACCCCCTCTGGCGTTTTGAACATGTTGCTCCCAACAGAAAGGATCTCCAATAGCGGCGTCTGGGACGCGATGAGGCCCACCTACTTGTGGCGAAAGGCGCCAAGGAAAGAAAAAGAAAGACACACGCAACACACATGAACACACTCACGGCGGAAGAAACAACGGGGTTGAAAAACAGGTGCAACAGCAGTGATCCATGCAAATTAAGCACAGACGGGCTAACCCTAAGCTAGACAACACTGGCAACGAAAAGCAAAGTAGTCATGCTGAACAAGAGGAGTCGTCCCGTGGCTCGACCACTTCTAGGGGAGACACCACCGGTGCTAGGGCTGTGCCCTCATCTCATTCGCTCTACATTCCGGTTGCAATTCGACACAACTTTGGCGCTACAGATGCTGCTGCGACGGTTACATCGCATCATGCTCGTCTCAACATCCCGCGGCGTGTTGCGCATGTTTGTCCCTGCCTCCGTCGACGTCGACGTCGACATGACATGACTTACTATGCCGAAGTCCGTTGGTGCTATTCTACTTACTTGCAGGTGAGCACGTTGCGGGTAGTGGGGACCCCTTTTCAAAAGGCGACACGAGATACACGCGATTGGAGTTCCGGGCCGGGGACCACCAGCGCACTCAACGCTCAACTAAAACACACTATACACCAGCACGCAACCCTACCAAACGTAACAAAACTGCTACAAAGGAAAACAGTAACATAAACTCACAGTGACCCGCCCTCAGTACCTTACAACAGATCGTACAGTGAGTAGCCGGCCGGTCGGTTGACATGGCCACTTGAACAACAGCAGGTTGGGCTCGGGGTGCCAATACTATCAGCAACAACACCATCATCCTCACTGCCCACAACACAGCAAACATCACCATCGCCGTTTGGTCTGCCCCCCCCAAAAAAACAACAACAAAGCAAACAACCACAGGCAAAATAATATTGCTGTTGCGTGTTTTTTCAACCGGCACAACCCTTGTCGCGACAGCCAGCCATCCGACCAAGACCAGCATCAACACTTTTCCTCTCCCCTCCTCACCTCTTGCCAGTCGGACAGCAGGTTAGCCTTTAAGTCCACGCTCACGAATGCACCCGCGGCCTCCGCCAACGCCGGCAGCTCCCCAGCTTTGGAAATGCTGCACTCCTGCTCAAGCAACAACGCCCCCGTCATCGTCATCAAACACACCACACATCGAGCAACCGAAGGAGAGAAAACAATCACATCGCCAGAAAAAAAAAATGCATGGGCACGAAGACGAAATGCCGCGAAAGCCCACCGGAAACGGAGTGACACGTGAAACATAACGGGACGACGGCAGTAGGACCAGGACGCCCTGTGTTCTACCTTTTACGACGAATGGCTTTTACCGGGCTTTGGAACATTAAAAGTTGTCATTTTCACACACACAACTTGTCGTTGTCCGATGACCTGAGCAAGGCGGTTGTGCCAACAGTCGGCACTTTGTATCAATCGCAGAGGATAGAGGCCGTCCGTTTCAAGGCCCAAACCAGACTACTGGTTTTTCTCAAGGTGAGGATGTCCAACGCACCCTAAGCGTGCAGTGATCCAGGGTGTCGACCTGCTGCCGCTGCCGAATCTTAGACTCCCCGTAGAACTCGATCGCCTATCATATGTGGGTGCCGCGGACGCGTATCGTCACGGGCAGGAGACAAAGCGAAAGAAGCAGGTGGAAAGGAAAGGTGGACAACCCAGCGACAAAAGAGAGCGGACGATGACTAGGACGATGAGTTGGGGGAGGGGGTGCGGCGATGAGGCTATCTACAGGTACTGGTATCCAGCAAGGCACGCGGTACTCGACCAAACAGCACGACACGATGACGCTATTAACACAGCCCTACCTGCGCTCCTCAAGCTTGAAAGAGAGGAAAATGCAAAAAGTGTGATCCCCTTTCATGCCGTTGTCCCGTCACGATGGGCACATCAATTTCATGTGCGTTCTTGTCACCGACTTTTTCCGTTGTTGAGAACTGATTTCGAGCTTTGTACTTGTACCTATTAAAGGAACCGCCGAAAAAGCTGAGATATCCTTGTTCGAACCGGCCTGGTTGATAGCAGCCCAGACACCGTATGTCGTGCAAGACGAGCGCCATACCATAACGCCACTGCTTTGCTGCAAAAACAACAAACACAAAAGTACTCCCCCCTTCATGCAATTCTCAAAAGCTCTAGCCGAGACACGATGAAACCCTGCAGGGACATCGGACCTGATCTGCACTCGACATCGGACATAAATCTCTCTTTCTTCTGAAGGGAGTGGCACACTTGCCCAAGGGCATGCATGTCTGCACCTTCTTGCCACCCTTGGAGGTAGAAGCGTAGGCATCGGGGAGAAGGTTTTCCGGTGCCAGGAGGGGCGCGTTCATGTCAACGTACTGCTGCCGCAGCGCCTCCGCCATGGAAATCCCGGTGGAGAACTTGCTCGGCTTGAGAAAGCTGCCGCTCCCACCATTGACGCACGTGAAGTATCGGACACTCGAGCCCTATCGACATGACGTGCACAATTGGGGACAGGGGTAGAGGGGAGGAGAAAGAGGGAGAGAGAGAGACACGTACACAAAGAGAGAGAAACAGGCAGGCAGGCAGACAGGCAGACAGACAGGCAGACAGACATGACAGACGGAGAAAGTGCGGGACAACGAAAGAGAGAGAGGTCTACAAGGCATGGACGGGACGGAAGAGGGGGAAATGCGGGCGGGGGCATCGCACCACTTGGTGTAGCCGGGCAACAGGAGAAGCCTCTCCGTGGACGAAGGCCGCAATACTGCCTGACCAAGCGGCAGAGGTGCCCTTGCGCTTCGCTGCTGCAGTGGGCGACTAAAACAAGTGTCAACGGAGCCAGTGTCTCGTTCGGGCGATTCAAGAGAAATATCTTGGAGCATCTCCAACACTTGTGCAGTGCAAGAACGATCAACCGATCACCAATAACGCTATACACGAAGAGCCACTGGTGTCCGCTACTCGCCACCTCTCCTGTACAATCTAGTTGTTTCTCACAGGAGTATCGTACCGTTTTTGGTTTCTTTCCGCGACCAAGGAGATGCATTCTCGCTCCAACAACAGCACCAAACACGGTGTTTTACCATACCAAACCCGTCTTTGATCATACGATTTAGCATCACCGCAGAACAACAAGAGCCGACTTGATCAGATACACAACCCGGTGTTCAACAGAAAGCGCGAATCTTGGACGTCTTTTGTAACAAACTGCTCAACGAGCGCCTCCGTTGTGCCCGAGACAAGACGAGGACGCAAGTCCTCTGGAAGGGGGAAACTGCCGCCTCATTTCTTGTTCTCGTTGCTGATTGGACACTCACGTCTGGCTTCTCTACGGCCCCGTCGTGCTTGCCCCTTGCAGGGTCATCGAACTCCACCCCTGAGTACAATTGAAACGTTGGCCGGTAGGAGCACGTTCGGTGGACAACAGCGGTAGTCGCCCACAGCGTTGATGTAGTCGAACTTTGCATGTGGTCTTTTGCAGCAGTGAAATATCCATGATTGGTTCGGGAGTATGCTACAGCAGTAGACATCGACAACTGCAACCGGTGCGCGTCGGTGAGCGGCGTTTTTTTCATTTTTTTCTCTTGACACCTGCCGCTGCCGCTTATGCGTGCCCACAGGTTGTGTGTTTACGGCAGTATGTGGGTAAAGCACCAGCGGCTATGCATACTTGTACGGCACTTTTGAGCCAATCTCTCGGTTGGTTGCAAAAATATGACATTCTGCAGGTATCTGACATTCTGCTGCACTGCTGTACGCTGTGTCCGGCAGGGGTGTTATCTTGCGTGCAGTACTGCTGTACGGTACTTGTGCGCGGCATCGATTTCAACATGTGGCTGTTCTATTCGTACCCCCTAGGCCGGTTAGCCCATGTAAGCCATACAGCTGCATCGGTGCGACTACGGTAGACTTATCCCCGTACTGCATGTAGAGGCGTCGTGCGGGACCCAACCGACAATGTTGTATGTATACTTGCAGCAGAAGGCAATTCAAATTACTCGTGCACCCGGTTGTGCAAGACTACAGGAGTGTGCACCGGTAGTAGAGCAACCCGATAGATTAGCCACAAATGTAACGCAGGAGGGCATTGCAGTAGGACCTGCGGCCGAGGTGCATCATACGTCTAGGGATGGGGCCACATCAGGAGGCGGATCTGTTGTACACTTGACGGCTGTACTGCGTGCATGACTGCTGCTGTAGAGTATCAGGCACTCTCACCGATCCATGGGGTTGTTGGGTCTTTCGCTGTGCAGACAGGACCCACGTACCGCACGGTGCCACGGAAGCCGTTGCCATCGACAACTCTTCCTCCTATGGATGGAAGCTGCGCAGCCTGGCTGCTGTCGCCAGGGTCCATGGGTGTGTGTGTTATGCCAAGGTGCCAGATGCGGGTAGTGTGAACACTTTACAGCTGGAGGGAGGCTACGATCGGGGGCTCCGCAGGATCACAGGACAGCCGCTGCTTGTACCTCTCCGCAAGAGCAACGCCTTGCGCCTTGCATACACACACAAATTTACTTGGTCAGCCGGTTAGCGCGGTCGATGCTAATAATAAAAGCACACACAAATTTACTTGGTCAGCCGGTTAGCGCGGTCGATGCTAATAATAAAAACACAAACATGAGACGCAAAGAGCGAGAGAGCCGGTACGGGGAGACTGGCAAGATATGGCCATGTGAAAAGGATCGAAGATGGGCCAGATATCCAGAGAAAGACATTCTTACAGCCGATACACAACCCAAGGGCAGTGAGGGTGCCAATCGGTAGACAGCAGAGGCCGGTCGCCTCGGTGGTCTTGTGGGTACCCTCGCAGCCTGCTAAGGGCCAGGTCATGGGTTCGATGCGTGTGTAATTCGGTGCTGCCGTCGATCATGCGATATACATGTCCATAGTTTCATAATTCGCAAAATTCAATTCGCGCAAAATTCCGACGTACAGCAGTAGGCAGGACGTTCGCGATTTCAAAGGATGTAACAATTAATTATTGGTGGTTTGGTAGTTGCAAGACGTACGAGACGCGGATAATAAGTTGTCACGGGCCGCGGATCCGTGACACGTGGGTAGGCTGTGGAGGGGGGACCCATCCTTTGAATCATTGACCGTTTACGCATATCACCTCGAGATGGATGGGGCGAACCACCCATCCATAGAGTATTTAGCTTGCACGTATATCGCCCCGAACATGCCAACAACGGATCGTGGCCCTCCACAACGACCACTTGTCTGCGTAACTTGTCTTCACCATCTTTGAAATCACTTCTTCCATGATATCGCGCCTATCACATGCGTTAACCGCGCGTCGATCGTATCGGATGAGTGCTCGATTGCCAACCCGCGATACGTTTTGCTCAGCGAGTCTCATTTGCCTCAACGTTGTGATATCGGTCCACGATCAGCCCGGATGAGTGCATGTTATTGCCGTCCCACGAAACGACTGACCATCGCGAGATTGGTATTTGTTATTTAACCTTTAGCCCGGACGCGGATTGGGAGATGCGTGCTATGGAGCCATCCGTTCCCGTTCGTTTTGCGATATAGCAGCGACCGCCTCGAAGCCGCTTCTGTCCGCCGTTTAAAAGGGTGTTCTCGATACGATTTGCTCGCGATAGTTTTTGGGGAGCCATTTCGTGGGCCGTCCTCGATACTATGTGTCTCGGGATGCGTGTTTCGAACCATCCGTTTGTTTCCGATTTACGACGTCCTCGATACAACCTTGTTTCCGTCCTCGATACGACGGGTTTGCGATTGCTTTGGACGCCATTCGCGGGCCGTCCTCGATACGATGTGTTTCGGGATGCGTGCTTTCGAGTCATCCGTTTGTTTTCGTTTTACGACGTCCTCGATACAACCTGGTCGCGTCTTCGAAACGATGGGCTGGCGATTGCCTTGGACGCCACTTCGTGGGCGGTCCTCGATACGATGTGCCTCGGGATGCATGCGTGCTTGTGAGCCATCCGTTATTTTCGATTTACGATGTAGCAGTAACCCGTTTTGACGCCACGCCGTTAGCTGTCCTCGACGCAATCGCTGCTGACGCCACGTCGGGGGCCAAGGAAGAACTCGAAATACTTCTGGCGAAGGGTTGGGATGTGTGCACATTCTGCCATCCCCGCAATGACGGATTTCCTGCGAAATTGACGAACATTAGGCGAGATTCTCGGTTTCTCTATTTACGAGTTGCGACGTCGTGACCGCTGGTGGCGATGAGTGCCGGTTATAGCTATCCCCAGCATCAAGACATGAAAATTTCTGGCGAAGCGATGGGGTGCGTGCAAGTTCTGCCATCCCGCGACATGACGGACGGATGTCCTGCGACATCGACGGATATGACGTTCTGAACTATTATTATTCCTTGCGAAGCGTTGGGATGCGTGCACGTTCTGCTATCTTCCGACATGACGAATGTCCTGCGACATTGACGAATATGATTTTCTGCGAAATATTTCTTGCGAAGCGTTGGGATGCGTGCACGTCGTGCCATCCCCCAACATGACGGATGCCCTGCGACATTGACGAACATGATTTTCTGAACTATTCCTTGGGAAACGTTGGGATGCGTGAACGCTCCACCATCCGCAGAAAAGACGGATTTCAGGCGAAATGGACGGATATCATGCGAAATATACGATTTATTTACGGATCTGTGGGACGGGCGCAGTTCATTGATGATTGGCGCGATTGTTGCGAGTCGTGAGGACCGAGTGCTGGTTACAGCTATCCTCCCCAGAAAACACGGATTTCATGCGAAATGGACGGATAATCACGAAATATACGATTTATTTCCGGATCTGTGCGATGTGCACGGTTCGTGAATGATTGGAACGAATATTTTGAGTAGTTGGGATGCGTGCTGGTTACAGCCATCCCCCGAATAACGCATTTCATGCGAAAATTGATGGCTGTGTTGCGAAATATACTATTTGCTTACGGGTCTGTGCGACGGGCACGGTTCTTTTTACGATTGGCGCGATTATTACGGGTATCCCCCGGAATGCCAGATTTCCCGCGAAATTGACGGCTAATTTATCGGGCGAAAAAAAGGATGTATTTACGATAGGCACCATCGTGTCTGCTGATGGGGATGTGCACCGGTTATCGCCATCCCCAGCATTACGGATTTGGGCGGAAACATTTCTCGCGACGCGTTGGGATACGTGCACGTTCTGCCATCCCCCGGCCATGACGGATTGCCTGCGAAATTGACGAATGTTTCATTTGTTTACGCATCTGTGCGACGGGCACGGTTCATTTACGACTGGCGCACTATGACGAGTAGTTGGGATGTGTGCTGGTTGCAGCCATCCCCGAAATGACGGATTTCCCGCGAAATGGACGGCGATTCGGCGAAATATACGATTTATTTTCGATGGGCTTCAACGTGGCTGCTCATGGGGATTTGCGCCGGTTATCGCCATCCCCAGCATGACGAATTTGGGTGGAAAGATTGCTTGCGACGCGTTGGAATGCGTGCACGTTCTGCCATCCCCTGGCAATCACGGATTGCCTGCGAAATTGACGAATATTGTGCGAGAGCGAGCCATCGTGGCCGTTGGCGAGGATGAGTGCCGGTTATAGCAACCCCCAGCATGACGGATTTACTTATGTTCATATATTTTTTACACGAATCGGCTTCCCGCGATGTGTTGGGGTGCGTGCACGTGGTGCCATCCCCTGGTATGACGGATTTCCGGCGACACTGACGAATATGATGCGTAATATACGATTTCTATACGATGGGCGCCATCGTGGCCGCTGATGGGGGTGAGTGCCGGTTGTAACCATCCCCAGCATGACGGATTGTGTGCGAAAAGACTTCTCGCGATGCGTTGGGATGCGTGCACGTTCTGCCGATTTCTGCGACAGTGAAGCGACTCATCGCAGCGAATGAATGTTTCACTCACGGTTCGAACGCTTACGGCGACTACTGGGATGTGGGCAGGTCCAGCCGTCCCCGACACGACGAATCGTTAGGTTCATGCGTAAACACGGACGCGCATATGCGATACGACCCGTCCCCGTTCCAGGTCCTCGCGGCGCTTCTACGCATCATGCAAGTTACCCGTAACTCCGGCAACGTGCATACGTGGCGTGACCTGAAGGCGAGCTTGAAGGCGGCGGAGGATATCATGCGGGCTGTAGGACAAAAGTCCGTGAGACAACAGATTATCGCAGACACCATCTTACGGGGTGATCGCCTCGCTAATAGGCTAACGCAGACTTTCGGGGCCCGCGATAGTGTTTATCATGTTTACTGACAATCTCCCCAACGCCCATGGGGTCAAGAATAAACTGTTTTCGGCGGACTTGGCGCGCATTAAGAAGTAGTACGGTCAAGTTGTCGGCATTAGCAGCACCGTTGGGGGGAGTGGTCTCGGGATTACGTTCGCTATGGGTGTGACGCACGCCCTGCCGGGACCGGCCATGACTAAACCGTTTTCTAACGTAGCCATCGGTGGCGGGGCTTTTGGCCTCGGCAACCACCCTCTCGGGGTACCGCCGCAACACCGAACGATAGCGGCCGGGTTGGGGGCTACGCCGCGCGTCCCTTGACCACCTCGCCGGCAGCCGAGGTCGCAGATGTCCCAGAGTGCCGCCCAGGCCGTCACGATGGGAGCCAGGCAGGGCACTATACTCCGTGGCCGTCCGGTCGGACCGGAGGGGGTCGGGGGGCGTGTAGCCGGGGCAGGGGTAGCCGGCACGCCGCCGGTAGCCATGTCCCAAAAACACTATGGGATGTTAGTGCAGGTGCGCGACCAGCGCAATGCAGCCCTCCAGCAGCAGCAGTCAGCGAACGCGGGCGTTGCGTCGGGAGGGGGAAATGTGTAGGAAGTGCCAAGCTAGTAACCGCGACCCGTATCATTCGCACCTGACGTGTGCGTTTTAGATCTGCCGCAGATGTAAGAGGGCGGCCATCGAATGCAAGTGTGTCCGAATCCGTGGTGGCCGCCGTGTGTGTGTTCGGACGCTCCATCGGCTCGTTTGGATTTGGTATAATTGTAGATGCGTTGCGCGTGCAAGCCTTTGGGCACTCACAGGATAGACCACCCCGTCGAGGGTACGGTGCGTGTCGATGGTTACGTACCCGAGGCATCCATTTAACGGACGGAAGTCCAATCTACGATCGAGTTTGGTTCGCTTTCGTTGTGCATGCTATTACAGAAAAACGGCGATGCGACCGCGGCCGGCCGGGGGAGGTCCCGTCTGACAAGTGCGTTTTCCCTTGGTAGCACACCAAGTCAGTTCGCCTAACTGTTCTGTTTGCGGTTTGTCAACGAACGACCCGTGTCATTGACATTGAAATCAATGCAGAACGTGTCGACATTCCATGACCGATTTCATTCGCAGTTGGCTTTCAACCCTGGTAGGTTGTAGGGTCACATGTACAGAAAATACTGTATGCATGCATTACTGCGATAGTCAGCCGGGAGTGTCGTTGTATCTGCTCTCCTTGCGTCCGCCATGTCTCTCGGTGGGTTCGTCTGGTCACAGTGCATCGTAGCTTTGCTCGCCTGAAGTACTCTTACCCTCAATTTCAGTCACAGGTTGTGCCCGTCTTGAAATCGAAGGGACCCGTTGCCATCGCTAAACTACAGCAGCCTGCACTGTATGTGTATACCGTTGTACCGTGTCGCTTCCACATTTCGGTATGCGCCGATAATTGGCAAACAAACCTAGCGCGACGACACGCGCAAGTAAGAGTCACGCTTGCAGAGGATCCCGACCTGTCCAAAGAGAAAAAAGGGTGGGTGGGGCCGCGTGCAAAACCGAGCGTAGAGTACGTACTGTGGCCGACATAGAACGCGAACCGGGAGGAGCTCCCGTAAGAGGTGCCGGCGAAAACGGCGAAGACTTCGGACATGGGGAATTGAATCATAACTGCGAGGTTTGGGACAAGGTTACCCTACGAGACCATCCCGATCGACACCAACCCCTGCCATATCTACGAGACGGCGTAAGCGTCTTCGACTCTCTTACAGAAGAATACCGCGGGCGTTCAAGCCAGGAACCGTATCGCCCCGACGCCTTCCCGGGAGCAGTTTTCCCCAACCGCATCCCCGACCAGCATGCGGCATTCGTGACTCGAAGTGCAACAGCTAGCTAAGCGCGGCTGTATGGTTCGGTGGGCTGACGTTGAAGGTCCCAATGGCCCGGATAGGCCACAGCTTGTGCTGTCTATCTCGGTCAAGCCCACCAAACCGCGCATGACCATCAACGGAATTACCCTCAACAATTAGTTCTTGTAGACATCCATGCACCATTTACGATGGAAACGATTCCACGCGTAGCGGTGGTGGCCGAAGGTGTTTTCTATAGGCGAGTCAGGACGACCGCGCGGGCTTCCATAACCTCAGCCCACAGCCAGTGAGTTGACCGCTTTTCGGCGTGCATTACGAGGGCGTCGATCACGTGTGTACTACCCTCCCCTTCGGATGGAACGAGAGCCCGCTGTGTTATCATTCTCTGAGCAAAGCTAAGGCTGAGTGTTTACGATCAAGACACTCCGTAGCTTGTCGCACGCCGTAGTCGTCAAACGCGAACAGCAGCGTCACGAACGGCGTCCGGTCCGAGCAGTGCAAGTGTTTTTCATCGTGGCGAAGTCAGTGGGTTGGAGCATGCGTGAGGGACACCTGTTCCCGAGATACTAGGGGGGACGGTTCGTGATGATCACATCGGTAAAATAATGTCGAAATCGTGGAACGGCGAAGGGGTTCCGCAGATGAGAACATATTGCGTGCAGAAAGGCTCGGAGAGAGCACCCACTGGTGACAAGCGTTCCCAACCCTAACGGAGGGGAAAGCACGGTAGGAATAAGAGCTGTCCCACCAGCCCAACGGTATCTATTTGTTTGTTATGTTTTGTTACCGGGGTTTTTATTTTCTGCGCGATTGCCGCGATGACGACACGGGGGACGTCAACGCGGGGGTAGTAACCCTGGGTGGAGTCGCCAGGCTTTTCGTAGCCGGAGGCCTCATTTCATCCCAAACTCTACATCGTCGACAACTATCCCGCAGGAAAAACGACGGTAGCACGCGACCGCCGTGCGCAAGCAAGAAAAAATGCGAAATACATTTTCGACAAAGGCTTTTCGAGTTCACTTGTTCACTCTGTAATTGAAACCTTGAACGGCTTGTTGCAGCTTTGAGGAAGGCCTGCAAACATCCCGGTCTAGAAACGTCAAACGCTCACCACGGACACGACAAACACAGACGGATCCACAAGATGCTGCACATCACGCGCAAAAAAATTCCGCGCGACTGTGCGGCATCGAACGTATGGTGGACTCGGGCTCGTAGCCATCAACCACACTTACAATCAAGCTTCAACCAACCTACACCTCGCTGCAATTCCGTAGAACGCAACTGCAGCAGTAGGTTCTTCAAGTCAACCTGTTGACCAATCATGTCTCCATTGTTGCCACTGCAACTGCTGTGTGTGGTAGGTTTCGTAAGCTGCGACAACCGCCCGCTGCACATCGGCGGTGCGTTGCGCGGCCGCTTGGCGCTCCCGTATAAGTCTAGCTCATTGTGAACAAACAGCGCTTGTGGCAAAAATATCGTTTCCTTTTTTGCCCAAAACGACCGAACGAGTTATGCACTTCTAGCTTCTTTGTTGTTGTACGGACCTCGGGAAGGTACACGACACACCACGATCCTGGGAACCACAAGCGATGAGACCAGGCCGCATGACAGCACAAGAATAGTAAATTCCCACAGTCAAGCATCTACGCCGGTCAGAAAGTAACAATCGTACCTGGAGATCAATTTTCAACAACGGGGCATTTTCCTGTTGACTTGCATGGTCAATCAGTCTATCTCACTTAGCAGCCCTCCCCTTGCGACAAATCTACCCTCCACGAGGCGTTCTATGCATAGCACCCCACCACTTTTGGTGACCACCAAATCCAACACCCCTCCCCCCCCAAAAAAAAAGGTGATAAAAAGCTGGATTACCGTCGTCTATCAATCTAGATTGTATGCAAAAAACACTCTCCGCACAAAAAATTCAGTCTAACCACACCGCACAAAACGCACGCACAAAATTCTATTCAACAAGAAAATGCGCAACAACAGCAAAAATAATTCACCACTTTGTCATAGCCGGATGGAGTTCTACGTTTCTCGCGCTGCTCACAAATCCGGCCACCGTCTCACGAGGAAACTTGACTTGCATGAAGCCGATCATCGCCGACGGCAGAGATCCCTTGGGGTCCGTTCTCGTCTCGAACTCTATCGACGTTTTCGAGCCCCCCAGGGACGTCAAGACCCAACTGGTTCGGTGAACGATGGCCCGCACGGTGGCGCTGGTGATGGGCCTCGCCGGGTGATCCGTTGATTGGTCTGCAAGTGCAACATGCGGCACAATACAATGGGTTTGTGATTGGTCTGCATGTGCAACGCGCGGCACAATGTAATGGGCTTGTTATTGGTCTGCAAATACAACGCGCGGCACAATTTAATGGGTTTTGTGGGTGGTTTGCAAGTGTCCGCGCGGCACAACATAAATGGGTGTGTGATTGCTCTGCAAGAACAGTGTGCAGCCCAATCATTGGTTAGTGATTGGGTCTGAAAAGTACGATGTGCAGCACAACCAAGGGTTCGTGAAAGCGTTCGCGCCATGGGAACATGAGCCATACATGCCACTAACCCCAACCCTGCTCCGCCCCCTCCCTCTACAAGTCGCCCCCAAGCCCTTGACCACCCGCATCACGGCAGCTCTTAAGCCGACATCCTACGTGTGCATGGCGGCAACAACAAGCGGTAACGTCAATCGAAGTACATCGAGCATGATACTGCCATTAATGATAAACGTACATGATGCGATCATCTTCTTGGCTCGCTTGTCCAGTCGCACGCTTCTTCGAATCACCACCTCCCTGTCCTTCACGGGCCACGGCATATCGTACTTCTGGAACAATACGTCCCCATCGCCGCTGTCCCCTCGCCTTGAAGAGCCCTGCGTCGGGAGTTCCTCAACCTCCACCAGAAATCGTACCCAGTCCAACGTGGAAGTCGTGTTCAGAAACGCCGTGTACAGTCGTCCGATGTGTTCGTCAACGGTTGTTTCGCCCCGAAGGGCCAACGAGCTACTCCCCTGTACCCGCGAAGAAAAGGTTCGAAACCCGCCGCTGTCTTCAACCAGCTGCGAGCGCGGTAGGAGGACGGCGGAGACGGGAGGTTGGATGAAAACATCCAAGCAACGAGCAATCAAAATGATGCCTTGCTGTCGTAGGTGATCGTTCTCTTCCACATTCGACCCAAACAACCACCAACTACCAACTGCTGTTTGGTGCTGGCGCTGGCATGGAAAGCCTCTCGCGAAAGGCGGAACAGCGGTCGAACGCCCCCCCCTTGGCAGTGTCCCGTCCACCGGCCCTCTCCTGGTAGCGTTATGGGCGGTCGTGCTGGTGCTGGTGCCTGACAATGTACATGGAGGCTACACGATCGCATCCTCTTGCGTCAAACTGCTGCGGCAGCTGATAAATGTGTCCATTACCCGGCTTCCGGCACTTTCGCTAGGGCAACGGCTATTGCTGTCGCCGTCGCTGCGCGTTCTCGTCATTGTCTAACGGATGCATTGTCTAGGCAACGAGGTGATAGTTGATCGTGTGCGGCTCTATCGAGCTCGCTCTTTTCCCTTTATTTGTTTTGTTACTTGTTATTTTTCCCCGCGTTTCACGGGCCACCACTCGCTCTCGCTCTCGCTCTCAATGTCGAGTCAGTCCGGACAACTTCAACAGTAAAATACCGTGAGGCTGGTCACGCCAAGTGAGAAGGGTTCAAGTGTTGCACATACAAAGTCAGGCAAAGAGGGAGAAAAGGTTGCGCACACAAGCGTGTGTCGTGTCTGCCCCACGTCATTTCGCGTCTTGGCCGGATTTTATCCAATATTAACTTTCCAAGGCGAACATACGGCAATCAGGTCAAGCACATACCAAAACTTGGGCAGCGTGGATTTTCGCACGGTCAACTGTGCTTAGGGTGGGTTTTCGCTTCGAAAGCAGTCCCCTGAACGCAAAAAAAATTAAATACCGTAGGTTGCGTAAGATATTACACCCCCTGGGACAATTTTTATGTGTTGGGTAAATACTTGGATACCATATCCGATCTGGGCTTGTGTGTGGGGGGCTGATGGGGGTCCAATTGCGGAACCGCTCGAGAGAGAGCACGCACGTGTGTTGCGTGATTACTCTTGCAACTGTGTTTACGTGGCCTTCTGTACGCTGGAAGGAGCACGGCGTGTTATAATTAAGGTTTTACGTCTTGCGTCACCTACATCGGTCCTGGGTTACCATCGTCCCCAGATACAGTCCATACAACGGTGGAAAGGCGAGATAGCCTCCGTGGGAAGGCGCGGAGGCAGCTAACATCATGGCTCACGTACTCGGCCGGACACGCGGTAGCGGTGCCGAAAATTGCCGCCGTCTCGACTAAATACGAGAGCTTTCCGATAAGGTATGTTTTGATATCGGAATCCTCTTCGTCGTGGAGGAACCGAGATTTGAATATCGGTCCAGGGGATGCGGTGTCTTATGCAACCTACGGTAGTAAGCATGAGCAGGGGGGCGTTGGTGCCGATGATTTCTTCTCTAGAAAAGTGAGCCGTGCACCCGTGCGTGGCCGGCGGTACGGTGGGGGGGGGGGGGG